GAATTTTTGTTAGGATAGCCCAGAATGTTTTAAAAAATCCTTATCTTCAACATTTACTTGATATATATTTCATTAAGATAATTAATATTAGAAAATTTGAATCGGAAATTTTTGCATATCAAAATATGCTACTTGAAATTGACACACTAAAAAAAATATTATTTACTAAATTTTGATTGTTAAATTGTACTGAACCCTATACAATGCTTAAAACGAAAAAAAACTACCGAAAAAGATACATGGTTCAGGAAACACAAACTTTATACTATTACTTACTTACAACTAGTACTATGAACCAGTCTATTTAAAATCAATAATTAAATCATTTAAAACGAAAACAATTTTTATTATATCTAGTGTCATTTCAGTATTTGTTATTTATAATGTTATAAAAAGATGTTAAAACTTAACTACTTTAACAATCCTATAAGTGTGCGTTCCGGATTTGAAATAAAAACATATGGTCACCTTAGTTTTAAACCACATTATCTTGATGAAATCATAAGATTAAAAAAATGATAGATTTCTCAAATTACCATGCTTAATATGATCGAAATAACTTAAATGCAGTAATAGCAAGAAAACTGCATCATCAAATGCATAGAAATTACAAGGAAATATTTAAGCCAAATTAGATTTAAAAAACTAGATGCAAGTGTTGTATTTTGTCTTAAGACCATTTAATCGACTTGTAAGAAATCAATATATAAATTTATGAGTGATTTATAAATAGACCGAGTTCATCATTCCAAATTTTAACCAATTTATAAAATTAAGCCACTTGTCGTAGACCCCATAACATTTTAGTATATACCTTAAAATCAAGCTTTATCATCATAAGAAGTTTCGTCTAAATCGACTTTTTTCAACAATTAATCATGAAGAATTGATTTGGTCAATTTTGACCAAAAACAATAAGCACGATTCCCAACTGATATCCCTCGAGCAGATTACAGTTGATAGGCGTGAGAAACCAAATGCGAGCCCATATCGACTTTATCGAATAGATTTAAAAAAAAAAACTAAATACACATAAAAACACTTATTCCAATTATGGTGACGATTCAGAATGACCTCAAACGTCTAAACAGCATAAAAATATCAAGGCGTTATTCTTCAGCAAAAACATGAACTTCTTCGGAAAGTTAGTAAATTGAACAAAAGATGACGCTTGCGCCACTCAGACTGGAATATATTATCTATAATACTATCTAGAAATGGTTATACAAAAGAGAGGAGTTTAAACGATGTTCTTTTTGTTCGTTACATATGTAATAAGATACCGTTTTATCTGTATTATCAAACGTAATAATATAAACTGTGATATAACTATCATATATACCCAAGAGTGGTCAAGCAACCAATGTACCAATCCACCTTATGAAACGCCTATGTTTTATAATGAAATATATGTTTTTGAACTTGAACCAAACGATTTTAGACAAAAGCAACAGGATCATATGAAAATTAAAATTATGATTGATAAATTATGAAATTCTGTAAAATACTTATGTATGATCAACTTTTTTTTCTCAATTTGATACTTACTGTAATTCATTTAATTTCATTTAGTACTATAGTCTCATGCAGAATTACCAAAGAATACCTTTTTCATTTCATCTCGTTTAATAATAACATGCGCATAATGATACATGAAAGAATCTACAGATGCTGTTGTTACAAAATTAAGCATGTAAGTATCGATTTTAGAATTTCAAAATCTCAACAGTAAAAGATTAAAATTCTGGCGTGTTACATAATAATATTTTGCAATATCTCAGATTTCCCAGGCTTTTCCGGCATCGCAAATCGTGATGTAATCGTATTTGTAAATTTCGTAAACTATCCTATCCTATTGAACACTTGAATTCACAAGATATACCGATATTTCACCCATATGAAACTGGGTTCAGCAAGTTTTTAGCAAATTTTAATACACCCCAGTTCATGCTTGAAGCAATCTGCCTATTATTATAAGTGTGTTTTTCTTATTATTGTCAACTGTATTTATTGTTGAAATATGAAATATTCATTAAAACGACGACGTGTATCAATTAATTTAGTGCCTCGTACGCAAGTAATAAATAATCTGGTATTTCTTTATAACAATTGTATCACAATACAGATATTAAAGATTAAAATATTATTATCATAACATAGTAGATATTTCAAATTATATCTGACATAAGTATACTATTTCTCATATACAACCTCATAACTGTTAAAACAAGATTTTAAAACTGCACAGATAAAGACATCAGGTAACAAAAAAAAATGTTAAAATATTCTAACTGTATCTTTTCGTAAAAATTACTTTTCAAACTTAAAATGAATGCGTTTTGAACTTATATTACCAGCATCTGTTAGCCTTAGATGTTATATAGTTGCAAATTTGCAAAAAAAAATATGTGCATATAAACAAATTTCATACATATTCAATACAATCTGACAATATATCTCAACAAAAACTTCCCTAAAAATGTTTTTGCAAAGTTATTTCTAGGTTTTATGTTGAGCTTACTCAATTCTCTTTACTAATCTCAATTTTGCACCGGGCCATATGCTAAATTTTTAATTCATATATACAGGCCAAATTAAAAATAAACTAGGTGTAATTGGCATTTTGCCTTAAGGCAAGTTACATCAACTATCTAATATAATTACTAAAAACTAATCGTTGCGATTTCTAATTAAATTCTTTCAAAAAGATTTATAATGTGTTATTATAGTAATTATAGCATACAACACGTGCATGCATTTCCTTCAAGCGCATTCCATTATTCTTAATTTTGATAAATTTTTATATTTCAACCAATTTTCGTGGGCATCTACTATTTCAAGGTTTTCGTTTAGTGCATGAACTTTATCGCCATCTTATTTTCCATAAAAAACTGTAAAAACATTTGATTATGAAGAAACAACCCCTTTCATTGACAAAAACTAATCAGTATGATTTTCAAAAGAAATCTTTCAAATGTTTTCAACTTTCGAAATCAGTTCAAGATTTTTTGCAAAAACGTGAATTAAAAATATTGCACTTTTCTGCTAATTCCAAAAAAACGGCTTGGCCTATCATCTTGCAGTATAATCAAGAATCTTTCTTATTGAGTGTCAACAAATGGATTTAAATTTATAAGTTCTATAATATAAAATATATAGATAAAATGCAGTGATGAGTTAATTCAAATGCATTCAATGTTAACAGTTGATATTTTGAATAATAAAAAAATTGGACAATAATAAAAGTATTATACAGGAAAAGCTAAAAATTACAAGCCATGCATGCAATAATTATCAAATATGAATATGTCTGTATTGCAATATGTGAGTATAATGAATTAATTATTAATTATTAATTAATTATATGCTACATGTACTTTGAAATGTTCAGAATGACTTTATAGCTTTAACACTAGATCTACGGTCCGAGCCAATTTGATCACTTAATATACATAAAACTATAATATTACTTTTTACAAACATACTTTAGTATTTAGTTAAGTAATGAAATGTATGTAAACATTCATACCAATTTCTCACAGACCTCTTCGCTTTTTCAAATGTGGTATAGCTATTTTCACAGTTTGAGCCAATTTGATTCACAGAATGGTTCAACAGTTTTCAGATCCACAAAGGTAATTTTGTAATTTATTTATAGAAGATATATGTTGGAATCAAAAATTATATCAAACACATTGATATAAAAAATATTAAAAATTGACAAAAAATAGTTAGGTTTGTTACAAACCTGCCGCAAACGTGGCGATCGATAAATAATTATTACCTATTAAAGCTAGATGCCAATTTACGCAGTACATTCCGAATAAGCCAAATAAATTCAGTATCAAGTTTTGTCTGCAATCCGATGTAAGAAACAAATATCTTGTAAACAGTTTTACCTACTTGATCAAAGATGAAATTCAAACATTTCCTTCAGCAAAATTTTAGTAACTAAGCTTGATTTTGGCTGTGGACAAAAGATAACCTATTTACTGTGTGAAAATTTGAGTCAGCCTTTATCAGGAAACATAAAAACAGAGTATCATGACATGTTGACTTTTATAAATGATCCGTGTTTAATACAGTTTGTTTTTAAATAACAATTTTTCACAACTATTATTTCATTTACAAAAACGTTACTTGAGAAAAAACTACTTTGTTTGGCACTATACGTCCAAATCGGGATAGCCAGAAAAGGTGCCATGAAAAAGTTTTCAACACAATTGCATAGATCTGAGAACTGGCCATTTATAAAAGCAATCCTTGTAAAAAAAATAAAATTGAAATTGAAATGGAAAAAAATGAAAAAACGTTTTATAAACAATAACTTATTATAAAAGCACTAAGTATGGCGTCGATGTACCTGTACAAATAGTAAAAAATGTTTTTCATGATTTTTTTGACAATAAACATTTTATTTGAATTGGCATGAAACTATTTTTTACAAAAACTTCAATCTTCTTGCATCAGTCAAATTGGCCCACTTCAGTAAAAATAAGTATATAAGCAACATCCGTAAATCTAGTGTTAATGATAATATTTAGCTTCCACTACTACTACATATATTAATAAATTCCTACAAATATGTTAAAATACAGGAATATTAGTAGTACAGTAAAATCAAGCAAGCACATTGAAAACATGCAACTCCAACCATTCCAGAGACTTTTTAAAATCAAAAACATCAAATGAATTGTCAATCATAAGCAATATTAGTTTAGTATTAGTGAGTTAAAAAAAAATATCTGAATTTAGTAAAAAATGAAACATGATAGACATTTGCATTTGATATTTTTCATATTGAATTTATTAACAAAACATGTCTACAAGAAAATAAAACTTGAAGAAACCCAAATACTTAAGCAGGAAATAAAACATAGCTCATCTCACATTGTAAATCCAAAACAAATGACAAACTGTTGTCTTAATATCTAAAATGTGGGAGATAAAAATCGCGTATATAGGTTATACGTGATATTTCATAAACTTAAGATATTTACTTGTTTCAGAAAAGGTTGAATCTATGGCGAAAATGTTAAGAGCGACCAATTGCAACAATCGGTGAGAGTTAACTGGAAGAGGTGAACGCTTAAGCAGCAAGTGGAATTCTAATAACATCTGTCTGCATACACCCACAAACGATTCCATACTATAACAAAAATATTAATATAAAAATATTTTTTTCATCGAACAACTATTAATTCATTTTATTTTTTTCAAAATAAAATGTATATTAGGGTGATCCTTCATATGGATATTTTCGAATTTTTTTGCTCCCAGGGTCTTAAATGTTTCCGAAATAATAAAAAAAATCCACTGAAAGTTTTAGCATTTCAATAGTAACTTTAAGATAGTAAATTTTCATTTGTTTCTCAGAATTTTATAACTTAGCGATAAATAAATCAACATTTTGAGAATAACATTGTATTTGGTAATTTTGATAATAAATTTAAAAATTACAACAATAATTTGATATACTTTATAAAATAATTATTCACTTAGAAAGAAGAACCAAGAAACTTTGGTTAGAGTGCAGACGTTCTTAAAGTTAATATTAAGAGCTAAATCTTTCAAAATTTTTTTTTTATTAATTTGGAAGTATTTGGGCCCGAAAAACTTTCAAAATATCCATATTAAACACCACCCTAATGTCTATATATATATATATATATATATATATATATATATATATATATATATATATATAACTATGTAGATTTAAATCATTAAAAAATATTGACCTTAACCCTTGGTGTCAATATTATTTTCTGATATTGCACATGAATGATCAAATACACTTACCCTATTTTAGTAATTAGCTTTCCATGAACATGTAAATAACTTGTTATAAACCTTTTATTGAGCTGTAACAAAAATTACATTAAATGAAAAATATTATTTCATGTGTATTAATACATTAAAAAAGTAAACATAACATTTATGTTATAATATCATAATAATGAAATGATTAAATACTCACTTCAATACTTGACATATCGACTAATTCTTCATTGCCCTCAAGCATCTTCTCTTCTTCAGTCTTTTCAGCATCAGGTTTTCTTCTAAAAAATATTCATCAATTTTTAAATAAGATTGAATGGGAAATCTGAAAACTTTTTCAAGCAAGCCTTTCAACTCAGTATCAATTAATTTTAATGTGTAGTGAGCAAAAGCTTGGCGGAAAAAAGAGAAGAATGTGATAATTTAAAATTTTTAATTTAAAATTTTAACAAGATGTGGTTTTGAAACTAGTGGTCTTCTTGGATAAAGTTGTTTCAATACAACAGACACTAACCTTATGCTTTTTTATTGCAATTCTCATGCCAATTCCATAATATAAACATAATATGTTACATAAAATAAAATATGAGCAAATCAAAAGATATAGTTTGACAAATATGCACTGATAACAAAACAAAAAAATAACAATAGTATTAAGGTAACAATATGTCCAGGTTTGGCTGGAATAGTCCTGGATTTCCACCCTGCGTTCGGTTTTCTTCTAGAAGTAATAATTGTTCCCATTTAAAGTTTTTTGGCCTGGATTGTCAATTATTTTTGAAAAATGTGGGTTGAAATTGAATCTTCGCTATTACTTAATAATACAATTATAACAACTCATCAAATATCTGGAAATGATATATACAACTAGTATACCTATATAAAACTATACAATTTGACTGAAAAAATGTCCAAATGCAAAAATCCAAAAGAGGATTAAAATAGCCTCTCACTTCAATAACTTCAAACTATCAAAAATGCATATAATAATGAAAAGAAATCACTAACTGCCTAGTACAAAAAGTGACAAGACTAGAAAATCCTTAAATAGTATTTGTTATTTTAAATCATATTTAAGTTATTTAGTGCAAACAGACGCAAACCATAAGTCACCGTCACAGTTTCAAAATAAAGAAACATGGTCACATTAGTATTATAGCTTTTCGGTATGTAAAAAATATGTAAAAAAATCAAAGACAAAATTATCATAATTGATAATTGTCAATGATGAAGTCGATAAATAAAATTATTATACCCTGGATGAATCCATATCTCTCTGCGTACCCTGTCTTCATCCTCTTCCGGATCCACATTTGCTAGCTTTCGTTTCTCTAGTTCTTCTTTCCTCTTTCGATCCAAAGTTTCATACTACAGTTGATTTAATTAAGCATTAATAATAATAATAAATAAATTGAATATGTTAAAAAAAATTTAGGAATTAAAACTTACTTCACCATGACATGTAACCTGCAGCATGAAATTAATTTGCAATACTGATTATATTATTAAATACTTATAAAGAGATAGGTTGAAATCAAAATGAGTTAAATATATAGTAGAATGATAAAATATTTCTAATAATAACACCTTTTTTCGATTTTCATCAAACAATGATAGTAGACTGTCTTTTGCAGAATAGAATGGATTTGAAGACATAAGACTTCTCATATAGTAATATACAGCATCTAACTTTCTTCTCTGTAAATAAAAAATGTAATATAGAATAAAACAAAGAGAAAAATTCTGAATATATATATATATATATATTTTTAATATATAAATTTAGTTGATATACATATATTATAATGAGTGTGTTAATTCGGGCAGTAGCATCTAATCCTTTATTCATGCATTGGGGTCTCCATTGAGACGTCATTCAGTGAAATAAAGACAAAAATTAACACTACGCTACACTAATTAACACAAATAACATCAAGCTATAGTTATATTCTATAGTTAAAACATTTAAAAGTTATGTAATTGTGATTATAAGTTAATAATCTAGATTTGTGTACATAATTCTTTGAAGACAGAACTAAAAACTTTCAGTTCAAGATAGCCTGGTATTTACATTTGTGTTAATCAGTATAGTGTAGTGTTAATTTTTTCTTTGTTCCACTAAATGACTGTCTCGATATAGACCAAAACATATAGATCAATAAAGCTTATTTCCTAAATGCTTTAGTTTTTTTTTTCACCATACTCGAGTTTATTCTAAAATTTGCACATTTACAACTCTTACAGAAATTAAAAGTGCCTTGGATGATAGATGAATTTCATTTAATTTCTAAAAAATATATTAAAAAAGTGATCACTGACACTCAGTGTCTTTAATATGTATTAGTGTTAGTCTAAGAATTTCAAGTAAATATTGTTCTTTGTAAATTTTTAATTTAAGATTTTTCTCTGATTATATTTAGTTTTTAATTTTACTTTTTCTGTTTATTTCAAAACTGTAGAATCACTGATGACGACATAGAATGGAAAATTAAAGATGTTTTAAAAATCTTTAATTGTTTTTTACTTGATGTTAAAATATATTTAATATATACATGGTCTGTTCAAAAAGTACCCGGAATTACTAATAATTAAATTTCGCGGGTCTGGAGTGTCTGATTGTCAAAATTTTTTTTTTATTGTGTTGGTATACATGCCCCTAAAGTATGATGAAATTTTCAGCTATATTCACTGTTTACTTTGTCTGTGGTAGTCGCTAAGGTTCGACGTGTTTTTCTGAGCTCGGCGATTTTTACAATGGAAGAATTGAAAAAGTCAAAGAATTTGTATTAAATTTTGCGTAAAAAATGAAATAAAGTGTTGCAAAGTGCAAAAATTCACCAGATATGGCTCCGTGTGACTTTTTCCTATTCCCAAAGTTGAAGAGACCCATGAAAGGACGGCGGTTTTCCTCGATTGAAGAAAATCGCCGAGAGTGCTCAAGGACATATCAAAAAGTGAATATCAAGGGTGCTTCGAAAATTGGAAAAAACGCTGGCATAAGTGTATTATATCTGGGGGGGACTACTTTGAAGGGGACCACATTAATGTAGACGAATAAATAAATATTTTTTTGAAAAAACGAAAATTACGAAAACTTTTTGAACAGACCTCGTATATATATATATATATATATATATATATATATATATATTTCTTTTTTTTGTTGCTTAATCTATGTGACTTACTGCATATATTGACAGAATTGCTAGCTGATTGTATGGCCTTCCATTTTTTGGATTCACTTGCTGCGCCTTCATATAATACCTTAAACGAAAAAAAAACACTTAGTGCTGATACCAAATTTAATGTACACTAACAGTATAAAATACAGTAAAAGTGTGAAATTTGGTTAGTAAATCTAATTAAATTTACCTTGCTTATAATTATATTTTATATTAGCTAATTGCACTGGAGAAATGTATTGAAACATATATATTTATATTATATATATAGAAGAATAGTGTGAGAGGTTTTCCATTGCCATTGGGCTTATTCTCAATTGAAAACATATTTTTGATCTATATTTTCAATTAAAAATAGACATTGCTGCTGCCCAATGTCAAACAACATTGGATTTTCTCATTCTAAATACCAAATGGTTTATACTATTATCTTTATAAATAACATATAAATAATATATAAAATTTAACATCATTACTTACTGTTTAGATTTGCTGTAGTTATTTGTCTCGCACGCTTGTTCTCTGTATCGTGCTAAATCTCCTAAAAATAAAAATATTTTCTGAGATGCAACAAGGGCTAAGCCAACAAAACCGAGTCCTTTAGGCGGCAGCATATGCGAACTTAGAATATCATCTAATTTATATTTGTAGGCTTCTTCTAAGTCACACAATAATTTCTCATAATATTTAGTAGCGTCATCAATTACTGTTAATAATGTTTGCTGATGCATTGTTTTGTTTTTATCATCATGTACCATTGTTTTTTTTAAAACTTCGATTATATTATAAAAGACAATCTTCCAGAAATGATGCTCTACATTCTCAGTTTGACAAAATTTGATATCAGTAACAAGCAAATTATATAAACATTTCTCTAAGTCTGAACGAATTTGCTGAACTTTATTCCACTCATTTAGTACTGTTCCCTTTTTTAACATGCAATGAAGATCCAAATCTGACTTTTCTACAAACTTTACAATGCAGGTAAGCTTAGAAGATTTATTTTTAACATCATACCATGTCGGCCTAGTATTTTCTGGTCCCAAAGTCAAACTGTTATGAAAGTTCTTATTGGCTTCTGAATTTGAACTGTCTACAATTCGATTGTCACTAACTTGTGCATTCACGACTATTGGTGTATTGGGATTTTTTGGGTCATATAACGTACGTTGCCAAGTGCTACTAGGCTTCTGAGGAAGAATTATCAAGCCAGGAGCTAGTGATATATTTTTCCTTTCTGTAGTATTTCGATCTTGATTGCGTCGTTCCATATCAATGCTTTCAGAACACCCCTCAATACCCGTAATATCAACAGTATGATCAGGTTCGGTTCCGAATGTGGAATTATCAGGATACACTGATTTTATATAATCACTTCCTACTAAGGTTTGCCTACTTCCACTGCTAGTAGAACGATCTCTTATGGATCTGCTCCTACTCCAACTCCTAAAAAAAATGTTAACATTAAATCTGCAGTTCAAATTGTATTTATTCATTAAACCATAAAACATATCTCAATACTAATATATTTGTTAAGGAGTTGTTTTAACCCTGCAGCAGGATGGCAGAACCAAAAACAAATTATACACATCACTTTCTCAAATATAATGAAGAATGAAATTATAAAATAAAACAAATAAACAATATATACAAAATTATACTTGTATTAATTATGCAAACTAAAACAGAAGTCTTTAAATTTTGAATTAATTTAGTAGTCTAATACTATTTAACAATATGATAATTAAAAGTATTAAAGAGCTGCGTATACAAATCATGTCAGTAATTAAATAATTACAAGAAAAATGTATTTTTAGTATTGTGCATATCACAGCAATTGAAAAAGCATATTGCAAAATATGCTTAACAGTATGTCCTAGATATAAAAATCGATACATAGTAGAACCAAGTACCTTCACGGATTTATTACAACTTCCACCAATTCCAGTTCAACAACAAGAAAATTAAGTAGGAACTGTTGTCATATCAATAATTAAAAGATATGAGTTCTACTAAGCATGTTACTAAAATATAATAAACACCATGAAAAAAACTGAAAAATTTCATTCATATAATTATATTTATATATAATTATAGCTTTTGACAAGCATATGTTTCCACAATCAATCTATACATGTACAATACAATTGCATCATATGCAATTGTTTTATTTAATGCATGTCATACTTTCCAAAGTTATTAGACACGCTGCTAAATTAACCTTTTACACTCTATAGAAGAACTAGTGGTGCGTGGCATCGTGCCTTAAGGCAAATTGGTGGAACTTCCCATAGCAAAAACTAAAAATTTGAAAAAAAATCTTATTTTTGAGGGTTTTGAAATTTTTGAAGAAAAATTGACCCTTGAAAACATTGAATTTTTTGAAAATTTTGAACTCTTTTTTACAGCAATCGCGCCGCGTTTTGAAGTCGTAATCTAACGTGTAAACATTGGTACAGAACTCATAGAAATGTACACCAATTTTTATTTATCATTAAATTATCTATAAAATATCTGATAATATGATGTGCATCAGTTTTGACCGCCAAATTGCGTTATTTTTTACTTTTTTTAATGGGATCTCCAAAAACACTAGACCTGCCTTCCTAAAAATTTCACCAATTATTCATATCATCGATACAAGTAAAATGTTTTCTTGGGTTATTCAAATCGAACGCACTCTCAAAAACTGAAACACCATTTTTGGCACTTTTTGTCCCGTATCTTCGAAACGCCTAGACCTATCTTTGCCAAAAACTAATCAGCACGTCTCCTTATCAATAGGAATCGAATGCTCTTGAATCATTTAAATTGGCTGATCCGTGTTCTCAAAGTCGTCGACAAAAAATTGAATCCGCACATACATCCACATATACACATACGCACACACATACATCCCTTTAATCTAAGGTATGCCAACATGTTCAGAAACCTTTGAAACGTAAATATATATAAAAAAAATTCATTTTCTATTTTTTTGCGATTACTATAAATTACTCTACAGGAAGTTCACTATTAAAAAGTAACAGTAAAATATTTATTTAGTGAAATATAAAATCTCCGATTTGAGCGATTATGAAAATTTTAAATAATCAGTTAACACTGAATTATAAATGGCAGCCAACAATTAAATGAACATTTTAACATATCCATTAAAATAATCTTACCTTCTTCTTCCTCGGCCAGATTTATGATGTGTGGGACTGTTTTCTACAAATGGGGATATTCTACCTTTATCTTGTTGCTCTTGTAATTCAACCTCTTCACTCCAATCCTTCAATTACAAAATTAATAATATTTTGAGTTGCGATTTATATACATTGAAAACATATTTAAATTCAATAATAATTTTTTTTAATTATATCATCATTTTACAATCGTGATTAAATGCGCCAACTTTTGATAAAATTTGCCAACACACTGTAGTACATTTTTTTTAAAGAAGGGCCTCTCAAAGTCAACCGATTATAACATTTTAAATTCATAGTTCAACAAAAAGTCTTAATTTTAAAAAACTTGGAGCAATTGTGTTAACGTTTTTGATTATGGCCATATATATGTTATTCACGGTTACGGTTCCAAAGTTTAAATGAACAAAATTAGAAAAAAAAAAAACTACAATAACCGAAAAATGGTCATTCTTTCACCAGAGCTCTAGGTTGCATTTCAAAGCTCATAATTTAAAAATCCATTCATTTAAAAAAATACATGGACAATAGCCAATACAAATTTTTTACAACTTTCATAACAGAAGTAATCAAGGTCCTTTATACTTGAAAAAAAAAATATTATTATAAATGAAAAAAGTCAGCACCATATGAAATTATTGAACCATTCTGACATTTATATTAAAATCATAATTATTTAGTGGTATCTCCGCGCACATTGGACGCTGCGCATAACGAACATTTTATTTCGGCACAAACGTTTCGAACGACAACTTTTGCTTCAAATACCTTGTCAGCATAGGTTGCTCTTTTAGTGGCTGTACAATCAGATGGCCACGTTGGCCCAAGTTATATTCGAAGAGTAGTCCTTGAAAACTATTGTTCATAGGAGAAATATGGATAAAATGACACAGTTGCTTTATTTAAAAATTGGCTGGTTTTAGTAACGTTTCCGCGACTGCATAACGAGTTATTCTCTTATTCTGACGATTGTTATTCTGACGAAAGCCAGAATAACAATCCTGTCAGATATTGAGCGTCATTGTTACTGTCTGTTCGTAGTAATGAGTTCGAATATTTCTCGCGCCTCCCAATTTTTTTTTATGAGTGGTTTTCTCGTGTTTTTTGGAGACTTATCTATTGTTATTTGTAATTATTACTATTAAAATTAAGGTGACCATATTTTTTTAAGTAAAATCCGGGACGACAATTTTTAGTTATGCTACTCCGGGACGTCGGGGGGTGGGGGGTGGAGGTAAGGTGTTAGTCTTTTATATAACAAATGCTATTCAAGGATACGATAAAAAAAACAGTTTTGTTAAATGATTTTTTTTTGTTATCATAATTGCGGACTTTTAGTAAGAAGTTTTAGTAAGCTTTACACTTCAACTATTATATGCCATACTTCTTTATCTATGATATTATATCTTATATTTTTCGATCTATATATTCTAGTCAATTTTCTTCATAATTAATTTGAAAAAATAGCATCTGTTAGTTTGTTTTCTTAATGTTTGTTAATTTAACTATTAATTTTCGAAAAACCGGGTCATCCGGGACAAATATTGCTTTAAGAAAAACCCGGGACACAAGCTGGAAATCCGAAACTGTCCCGGGCAATCCAGAACGTATGGTCACCTTAATTAACATCAATTTCCATTTCAATCAATTTTATTGCAATTATTAGGTGTTTGATAAAACTTCGATTATTTATTTATTTTTAGATAAAATAGCACACATATAGAATAGACAAAACGACATAGTACATTTCGCAAGCACACCAGGGTAGTTCATTCGACGTCACGAAGAAAGAAAATTATTATAAGTATGTATGTGTATGTGTGGGTATATATGTTTTTTTGTGTATATGTGTACGTTTGTGCTATGGATATGCATTTGTAAATACATGTATGTATATATATAAATACATATATTTTTAATTATATTAATTTAAAACAATTTTTATAAATAAACCGTTTCTTTCATAAAATATTTTTCTCCTAGCAACATCTATTTTTCAACTGGGCCCTATTCCTTCTCTTCCCTACTTGATATTCCATGACTCAACTATTTGACCTTGATAGAGAATTCAGTTCAGTACAGTGAACGACTTGTAACGGATAACACATAATGCTAATTTAGGTTTCCATATTTTGAATTTTAAATTATAACACACTGATGATGAGACAAACCTAGTCTCAAAACGTTTGTGAAATTATTATTTAATAAATTAGTGCAGAAATAGAGTGTTGTTTGTTCATTTTTCTAAATTAATATCTATCTATCCACTCAGAATATATATACATGTGTATTATTTGAGCAACAATGAACAGACAAAAAATATTAAAACATACATACCATTTTTTTGTTAAGTGGTGAAATATGAACGTCTGCTAATTTGCCAATAGCATCAAGGTCTTCTGCTGGATCAGAACGGTGTTGCATACTTTCATTACTATATGCAATATTATAGTAAATCTCTGAGTCAATACTATTAAGCGATCCTGTATCTTCACACTGGCTGAGCTTATGTAGCTCATTTCTTCCGAATGTTCTACTATCACTGGTTGAAATATTTGCAGTGTATTCTACATGTGGAACCCTTTTATCAATTTTTATAGATTCTATACTAGGGGGAAGTTTATTAGATTTTCGAACAATTCCCCTACCTCGTCCTCTTGCTAGTGGCAGTGTCTGGCACCAACCTGATGGATCTCTAGTATTTGAATTAACACCATCAATGCCGTTCATATTGCTAGATGCAGTTACAACAGGTTTTGTATTATTATCAAAATTTTGATGATTCTTTTTAGTTGCATATAGGTTTAGTTTTTCTGGTGATAGGGAATCAAGAGGATAACCATTCTCCATCAAAAATTTTTTTTGTAATCGTGGAGGTAGGTTCATTAACGTTCTTGTTTTATCTCGAGATTTATTTTCTATATTAATATAATTGGAACCGTTTCCTTTGTGATGTTGTTTTGATTTCAAATTATGATCAGAATTCTTTTCTAGGCCATCAAAGCTTTTAATTTCATGAAATCTATCATTGTGAGCAAAACTTCTAGGTTCTGATGAGTGTCGTATATCTCTGTTGTGGTTATATGCATTAGGCGTATTTGAGTGATGCCTACTAGAAAACCTTTTATTTTTACTGTCTGTATATTTAGAACTGTTGTTATTGTCCATTCTGCTATTGTACATAGAATTGTCCCCCTGAATGTTTCTTCTGTTTTCTAGATGACATTTATTTATTGTATCTGTGCTGAAATTTTTCTGCTTTGCTACATATAATGCTCGTCCTGGCTTTTTTTGTCTATTCATATCTGCATCTATCTCAGATAGATTATCCGAGTAGATATTTTCATCTTTTGCCCTGCATTTTTTATTATAATTGAAAGACCTACTAGGCCTATCGTCCATATCTCTGATGTGACTAATGACTATGTCTCTGTCCTCAGGACCATTAGATTTTTTAAGGGGCCCGCTGCCAGGACGGTATAACTGTTGTTGAGGCTTGCCTCGATGTGCAAAGCGCAGCCCACCAACAGAACTACGACTATTCTCTAAAAAATACAAGAGATTCAAGAAAAATTTTAGGTTATGTCCATTTCAAATATAGCATGTATGGGATTAAACATGATAACATTGAAATTTACACACTCATGACAATTCTAAGATAAGGATTTATTCAAATAAATCAAACCTGTATTAAAATTGCTTTTGTTTTTGCGCTCATCATTATAATTGGCCATCGCGATACATCACAAAATTTAAAAACATATACACTTTTCTCACATAAAACATTTAACACTAAAAACTGTAAAATAGCATTCAAAAATATTAAAATTATATACATTCGAAATGTAAAAAAAGTTAAAACTATATACAAAATTTAAAATTCTTTGTGTAATGACAAAACTCTAAATTTCAAATTGTCAAATCCAAATTTGAAGTGAGCACTTATTTCAGAATGTTTTCGGAGAATGTAGGTAACCTTAGAATACGAAGCACTTTTGTTTTTAGCGCCAATTTTGAAATATAGAATTTAAATATTATAAATTCTTATAAAATTAAAACTATAATTAGATTAATAAATTTATTGTTTATATTACATCAGTATATATATGTATATATATATATATATATATATATATATATTTACAAAGCGTATATTCAGAATAATTTTATAAATACATGTTTCCAATTTAAATAAGTGTTACGAAAATATCGAATTTAACTTATATGTACTTATCACATCTCATATTTGAAACTATTCGACTTATTCAGAACCTCTTAGGTCTGTGAAAAACTATAATTTAGCCTAGTTTAAATTTATCGTATAGAATTACAATCATTTCTTAAAATTGAAATACAACAAATTTATCAGTTTATTTATATAATCTAATTAGATTATATACGTAGATTAGATTATATTCATTTATAATCAACAAATGAGAATAATAATTTTACTTATTTGTAAATCAATTGCTTATTCATATCAATTTGTCAAATTATGTGTATGAAATATTTTACTCATTGCCAGTATTCATCTTCCAAAAATTCATCAATAAATTATTAATGTGCTAAACTAATTAAAGTTTCAGTATTAAGCCTTTCACATTATGAAATTATTGATCTATCTATTACATTGATAAAATAGTTGAAAACCCAGAATGTTTTTTAGCCAGCACCCAAGAACAAGTTGTCTAAAATCCCAGATATATCCAATCTGCTTGAAAATGGTCCTAGAGAATCTAAGAGTTCATTGAGTTCATTTTCCGGAGCTCCAGCAAAAAATAATAGTTTTGAGAATGTTCGAGCTAAAGTAAAAGATCCACGAAAGAGTTTTACTATAATTTCGAATTTCGTGCGTCGAGAAAATATCGACCCCAACATCACCACCAAAGAGCTGGTCTCCACGGATCCCACACAACAAATCGATGAGAACATCAATCTCTTAACGCAAATGTGAGCCAATTATTATATATACTCACAATATTTGTGATTAATCAATTATTTCATTCCCACTGCTATTTGATTTCTAATGACCCACAATATGCAATATACCGTGGTGGTGCAAGAAAGTGCCCTTTCTTTTCATAGGCTGAATATGTTAATGAACAATCATATAAATATATCATAGAATATATTTTGTAGTCGTTACGATTTTCTTATAGAGGTTAAAAAGTACATTTTTAATGAATTTTATTATGTATTTTAATAATAAATATTTTAAATAAAGTTTTTAAAGATATATGTTTACATATTTATATTTATTTTAAAAAATAGTTTTATTTGAATAAAAGCAATATTGCGCATGGTGTGTGGATGTAGTTCGAAAAAGTTATTTATCTATCTTAAAAAAAAATTGTTCACATTTCAAGATATAGAAAGATATCCCTATAATTGCGTGGGTAAAATGACTCGCTAATTGTAAAGCACTTCTGCTCGAAAAAAAAATTAAAAATAAAATAATAAAAAAAATAAAAAGTAAGTAATTTTGATGAAGCCTTAAATAGTATTTGTTATTTTAAATCATATTTAGGTCATTTATCGTCTTGTCCCACCCCGGATTATCATAACTAAAAGTTGCGTCCCGGTTTTGATCTGAAGAAATTGGTCTCTTTATTTAAACAATAAAACGTGCATAACTTTTAGCAAAAAGAGAACAATATTTTTGTGAAATTATCTAAGCTTTTTATTAAGTATAAACAATTACTCCCGATTCCGCCAGTATTTCACAAACAAAATTTAATGATAATTTAGTGTTATCTATTTTGAATATTGATATCGTTTATAGCTAGGGAAATATGTTGATTTAAATATAATGATATATAGTATTACTATAGGAAAATATGTTGATTTAAATATAATGATAAATAGTATTACTATATATCCTAAATAAATATAATTATTATATTAGGTTATTAGGAGATAAAATATATTATTACCTTAGCAGTTCAAACCTTTTGAGCTGTATAGTTCAGTCATTATAGTAAGTTTACCTCGGAATTCGAGATACCCAGCTTTAAGTCTGTAAATACTTGTATATTGACACCTAAAAGTTGTTTCAAAACCTATATATGTTGCGTACGCCCTACCATATGTAGGTTTTGAAACAACTTTTAGGTGTCAATATACAAGTATTTACATACTTATAGCTGGATATCTCGAATTCCGAGATTCTTACCTAATTTAAGCTTAAATGACTGGACTATGTATTTATAGGGAAAGAACAATACTATTATTATATTTCATCAGCTATATTACTTGAGTATATTTATTATATATCAACAGAGAAACAACTAAAAATATTCTTTGCTGCAAATATACTGAAGATTACAACTTTATTTCGGCCGGTTTTCCTGATGGCATGGTACGTTTATTCGCAAAGAACACTGGTCAACTCGCGATGGTCTTGTACGATGAAGAGTCTTTGGCAAATGCTGCCACTGTCACGTGTATCAAACATAGGCCCGTCTCGAAAAATTATCCGTCAACAAATACACTCTTGTGTTCATGTAAGTATTTCAAGGAAACATACTTTATGTTACTTACTTGTTTATTTAATCCACAAATTATTACACCAAATTGAAAATGTCATTTTTTATCATCTAAGATTATTTAAAAAATTACTTATTATCAATGGTGTTGAGCGAATTTTTTAATATAGGAACGCTAAAATTAAAAAACCGGTTCAGATCGCAGTTCTGGTATTTGTTTCAGTTTAGTTGAAGTTCCGGCGCAGTAAAAAAACAGTCCGAACTCCACGGTTCGGAAAAACAAGCCGGTTCAAACCTTTGTTTATAATGATAACATACAACAATTTTCAATGTTGTTCAATTTCTCGTTTTTTTCAATTTTTGTTATCAGAAATCATCTTTAGTTTTGGAACGCGTTCCTGTCCAAAATGGAAGTACCGGAACGAAGTTCCACTGCTTATTCTTCTCCATTCAATTATTCAATCAGTATCATGTTTATATTTTGAGACTTTTCAACATTTTTTTTGAACCTTAGTTTTCCATTTCTTCTTGTGTTATGTATTCAAATTCTTAATTAAACTGTATCCGATTGCTTACAAAGCTTATAAATTGATTTTATTATTATTCATCATTACGATCTAGATACTAATGGTTGTGTAAAATGCTGGGATTTTGTCTCTAGTCGATGTATATATACTATCAGAGAAAGGCGCCAGACTTTATCCTTGTCCTACCATCTCCGACTGCCAAAATTTGTCACATGCGGCGACGACGCCAAAATATTCCTTTATGATGAGGAAACAAAAATGCAAGAAAGAGTTTTTATAGCAAGGTAATTTTATCAAATATGTTTTCAAATCATTTTTAAAATTAATTGCAATTTCATGGTTCATTTTTGAAAATACACCATATTTTTTATAAAGTGAAGTAGTTGTTGAAAAGGTTAATTTCAATAAATCACTTGCAATGGTTAATGTTAGCAGTAATAATACTCTGATGCCTTTTGTTTTCCTTCTGACTATATGCAAATACGTTAATACACTTATTTACTTTTATATCCAAAAATCTCTTGTAATCCGGCTGATGTATTTAACTCATTATTTCGTTATCTAATGGATTCAATATTGATGAAAGTTTGTTACGATTCAGTCGTTCATCTAATAGTTATTTAAATTGTGGAACAAACATAAAATTCTTCATAGAAGCATATTTTGAAAGATTTTATTTGAGTGTATACAGGCCACAAAGACATAAAATGTCACCCTATAAAATATCATATTTATTTTAATTAAATAGTTTAGCTTTAACTATTTTTCACTGTAATATCAAATTATCTGATATTATATAGAGATTATAACAATAAGTACATTTACATTTCTATGTGTTCCGTACCGAATGCTTTGATTTTTATTTTAAAAAAATCAAAACATTTCAATGTTAAAAAAATATTTCAAATGTTTAAAAATTCATTTTTATTTCAAAAATTTCTAAATTTTCAAAAATCTATTTTTTTAAGTTTTCAAATAATTTTAAACTTGTTTATAAATTTTAATTTTTGGTACGGGAAGTTCCAGCAATTTGCCATGAGGCACTAGGCCATGCACTACTAGTTATCACTAAAATAGTGAAAGTAAACCTAAAGTTACCACCTACAAATTTTCAACTTCATGTTATATTTCTTAGCCATCTGGTCTGCCCAAATTTTACCAAACAATGTACTAATACAAAATCTAATAGTTTTTGGAACGCTTTTGCTGCTTTCTCTTATTTCTATTGAATAATGTACGAAACTTGGGACAATCTTTTTTTTTATACACTGTCAGAGTATTGAAATTTGATTTACACAAATTGCTTTAAAATCTATGAATGAATTTATCCATTTTAGAACAACGAACTATCCAATTGAAAAACTGGACATTTCCAAAATAGAAAAACCCGTTTATTATATATTTACTATTACCTACCATCCATAAATGATTCGTCGTGCCGTAGATCGTTAACGCGTTGACTTTGTATGGACAGGGTCTGGCAATCTGACATCTAGCAGCGCGATGTCCATTTTCAATTGAAAATATAGATCAAAAATATGTTTTCGATTGAAAAAAAGCCCATCTCGGGCAATGGGAAATCTCTCACACTATTCTTCCCTGAATCGAGTTGGAGTTTAACTCAGCTCACGAACCTGCCCTAGGGCAGAACACCCATTATTTATTTACCATCCATAACTTTATTGTAAATTTGTCTGGTTTATTTCGCATATTTTTCATACATCTACTCCTACATTTCGACAACTCCCCAAATAACAGTATTTTCCACCGGTGAAATTGACTGACCGCGGTAGTTAGGTCACATAATAATTTTTTTTCGGAAAATAGATATAATAACTAAAATCAAAGAGTGAAGAAAATATTATTAGTGTATTCTAAGAATTTTCATATAGTTTGATAATGGTATTTAAACGTTTAAAAATGTCTAAGTTATCACAAAGTTTGAATCGGTCAATTTGACCGGCGATGGTAGATTTAGTGTTAAATGTTGTATTTTAACAGTGACGATCAGAATATATGCGATGGGCATACTTCCCGCGTTTTCGCTGCCTGCTTCAATCCGCGATCGCAATTCGAGATAGTTACAGGAGGATGGGACAACACGGTACAGTTCTGGGACATGCGGGCGCCGCACGCCACCAGGCACATAGCCGGAGTTCACATTTGCGCGGAAGGAATCGACATCAGCCCCAACGGGAGAACGGTACAACCACATTGATTTGTTCTAGAATTTAGATTAACTACCACCAAACAATTCATAGCTTTTTTGAAAATACTGCGTATGTAGGTCATTATATTTGAAAAATATTATTTATTGATTGCACTTTGCGTGGCCTTCTTCCTTTATCAACAAATCAACATTGAAGATATCGGAAGCTAAGAACTTAAAAAATTAGACATAAATTGCAATATATAAATCTAACACAATGAAAAATATAATGAATTATTTTAAAAGTATAATGTTAAACATATAATTACATGAAATATTTTTTTTTTTTTTTTTACAATTTATTTTTGTTAATCAAGACTTTAATGTCTTATTTACAAAATTGATATGAGCAAAAAACATAAAATAAAATGAAAAAGATACACGTTAAACTATTAAAAATTACACAGACCAACAAAAATTTTTTTTTGTTTGGTGCATCAAATGTTAGAGCTGATTCTTATAGTATTTTTTGCGCTGATTTCAAATCTGCAAACCATTTTTTTGTATCAGCTCTAGTTTGGAACTGAGAAAGAAGTTGCCGAAACCAGGTCCATTCTAGGTCGTCACGAAAAAGAACTTTTCACAGTGTCAACTAATGTCCCAACTAAGGCCGAATGGGTCTTGTAAGTTTGTATGTACGAGTAGGCATATCTTATTAAAATAACATTCTGAATTGTATTACTATTTTGTATTTTCGTTCCTTATATTAGGTGCGCAACTAAGTTCTCGCTGTTTGTCAGTATATGGCTCTAGCAGTAAGGGTTGGTCGATTTTGATAAATCCAAAACGTCTTGAAGCAAGCTTAGAGTAAGTAAACAAACTGCTGCGACGCATAATTGATTTCGTTTTTGCATTATATACTTCTGGTTGAGTGAATATGTCCAATTTTATGCCAAACAACCGTCATTTGCGGGGAGTGTTGATTTTCGTCTGCCATTCAAAAAAAAAAACGGAAGCTCAAGTGCATCGAGAGCTACGGAAATGTTGCTCTGAGCGAAACAACATGCCGTGAGGGGTTTTGTCGCTTCAAAAATGGTGATGTTGACGACCATCCTCGTGAAGGAAGGCCAAAACCTTCAAAAACGCTAAATTGAAGACCTTGTTCGAAGAGGATTCATGCCAAATTCAAGAAGATCTTGCTTCAGAATTAGGAGTTACCCATCAAGACATTTCCAACCTATTGCATGCGTTGGGGATGATTTAGAAGCAAGAAACTTCGGTTCCTTGTGTGTTGAAGCCAAGAAACGTCGAGCGTCGTTTTTTCGCCTGTGAACAACTGCTCCAGCGGCGAGAAAAGAAGAGGTTCTTCATCACATCGTGATAGGTGATAAAAAATGAATACATTACAGCAATTCAAAGAGGAGAAAATCTCGGTTCGGCCGAATATTCACTGCGAAGGTTATGCTCTACATATGGTGGGACCAGGTCGGTGTTATTTGTTATGAACTGTTAAAACCGAGCGAAACCATCACTGGAGAACTGTATCGAACGCAATTGATGCAATTTTTTTATAAAAAACTTACATTTTCATCGAAAAAATAGCGAGAACTTAGTTGCGCACCTAATATATCATATATATCATAACTTGAAAACTAAAGCTCATAGAAAAAAACCAATGTCATTTTTGAAATCAGCGCCCAAAATATACTTAAAAACAGCATTAAAATCGTTTGCACTATTTTCTTTGTTGGCCTGTGTTATCATTATGCCTTCAAGTACTTTTAAAATAATTCATTACTCAAAAATGTGTTCAACTCAACGTTTAAGCTATAACTCCCTTTCCTTGTGGCATTATTTATTATATTCTTACATGTATTTAACGATTAATTAATTTTGTTTATTTAGTACCAATTATATATTTTTTCTATTTAATATTAATATATTGCAATCGTTATCTTTTAAGTTACTAACAGCGGCGTGGCAGAAAGCAAATCCTTTTCAGGTTTGGGACTACAACAACTTGAAGTTGATACAAAATGTAAAACCGGATCCATATAATGCAATGGTAAAAAATATTTGTAAACTATAATTAAATATAATATAACTTAGTTGTGTGTAGCATTATGAACAATTATTAAATGAACAGTCTTTTCAGAATTTTTTAATTTAACTAAATATTGCAAGTTCAGAGATATAAAAAGTATAAGCATTTTAACTCTAATTAGTATAGTTACGAAATTAATATTATTCGAGTTATAAAATATTCGAAAAAAGTGAGTTATGCATTATATATTCGTATGAAACATAAAATATAGTAAGTAAAAATTATTATATGTACTGATATATTTTCAGTCGTTCAGCCAAAATTAAATTTTACGAAGCGAAATTTGATTAATAGTTGTTATTTAAATTGGCGGAACAAAGATAAAATTCAAAGATTATTTTGAAAGATTTTATTTAAATAAAATTTAGATTTTTAACTGATATATTTTGACCTAGAAATTGACATTGATAAGATGCAGCCTCATTTCTGCAGAAAATATTATTTTATAAATGGATAAATGCAACTAGTAGTAGGAGCACCATGCCGTAAAGCTAATTGCTAAATCTTCTGCACTGTGAGCAAATATCAGATAAATGGAATTATGATTTTTCTGATAATTATTGAGAATTTTGTAAATTTCCTTCATTTTTTTGAAGTTGAAACAAGATAAAAAATCTACTCCTAAATTTAAGATCGTTAACATTATTTTTGATTAAAATTTTTTGAACTCGATAAAAAATGCAATAACTAAATGCATGTTGCCATCAAATTTTCTTCTTATTTCATTAACGTAAAATATGTAGTTAACTAATATCTAATATTTTATTTCCACAAAACGTAATAACGCTGCGATAATTTATAAAATATTGCTTACATACATAATACATTTTTAGGATCATAAATATCAACTATTTATTATGGTTATAACATCATTTATATTAATTTATTACTCGATTTTAAATTTAGTTATACTGTGGAAGATGGCTTGACAATAATTATGCAGTATGCGGTGGGTGCGAGCCTAATATCATCCGACTCGTTGATATGAGAACTTATATGGTATGTTATGCTTGCACTTTTTAAAATACACTATATATTTTTTAACTATTTTTATAAAACAATATAGAACGTGGGTGCAGTAAAAAACCTACCAGGCGGCGTGTACAGCCTCGACATCGGAATACGAAGAAAGAACAAAAAAACTCGTGGGCAAAAGGCTGATGTTTCCTCATTGCCAATGTTGGCTTATGTCAGCGGAAAAAGAATAGCCCAAATTGATTACTGCTAGATTTTCTACCAACAAATTTAACCATTTTTTGTTATCAACTTTTGTAAGATTTTTTTAACATTCGGTTTCGACAGTGGAAAATAAATAAACTTTTGCGATTGCAATATTTATGATTATTTAGTGTATAAGAAAAGCAAATTTCTGAATTTATTTCAAGTTCTTGGAAAAGTGTGATATTTTTTTAACAAAACAAAGAATGACAACTCTTGAAAATACTCCATGCAAATCTTGGTTCTTTTTTTTTAAATAATTTTACCTTCATCAAAAATATGCCAAAAATCCATATGCAGCTTTGATAAGATTTAATTATAATTTGACATAACTAAGATATTTATATCGTATCAAAACACTAAATAATTCAAATAAATTATACATAATATCTAGAGATTCATTTTTGTAAAAAAAGTAAAATGTGTGCAAAAATAACAATTGGAAGTAACATATTTTATTAAAAAATCCCTTGAACATATATTAATAATAATTATAAGACAACAAATATAATTTGAATCATCATTGTGTGCCGTCACCATACCTTACTGTTTCAATGGCAATGAAAAATGACGAAATGCATTTGTGCATTCACTCAAAGTCTACTTTTAGCATTATTCTTATCTAGTCAAACTTGTAACTTTTTCTTCAAGTTTTCGGCAAGCTTGTCCATGAAAGCGAAAGTGTCTAGATAATCACTTCTCTGAACTTTATCCATTCCTTTAATACAAATAGCGAGGTCTTTAGTCATGAAACCAGATTCAATTGTTTCAATACAAACAGCTTCCAAAGCTTCACAGAATTTTTTAAGGGCATCGTTTCCATCGAGTTTGGCTCGATGTAAAAGACCGCGGGTCCAGGCAAAGATGGATGCGATGGGGTTGGTTGATGTTTCCTTTCCTTGTTGGTAGAACCTAAACATTAAATTAAACATTCATATTAAAGCTTGTCGGCTTATGATAATAGTTTTGTCGACGTTGATACATATTTGTAATATTTTTGCAGCTCAATCGTCGAATTAAAAAAAGATTAAATAACAAAATTATTTATTCCATTGAACGTTTCGACACTTGATGTGTGTCATCATTCAGTAATCAAACCAGGAAAAAGAACAGAAAAAAATAATTATGATGTGAAATTGATTGAACACTAAATTTGTGTAAAATAATAATATACTATTATATTAACAAACGAAAAATTGAAGGAGCACATATTGCCCTCCTATATTTTATGTTATTAATAGCGGTGCATTATGGACACTGATCAAGGTTACAACGCAAGTGTGAAATGTGTAAGTCCATGTGTAATTTTTTCTGTTGTTTTTCCTGGTTTGATTACTGAATGATGACACACATCAAGTGTCAAAACATTTAATGGAATAAATAATTTTGTTGTTTAATCTTTTTTTAATTCGACGATTGGGCTGCAAAAATATTACAAATATATATATATATATATATATATATATATATATATATATTGTATATATACATAAATTCAAAATTAATATTTACTAACTAACATTGTATGACACTAATGGACCTTCAGATTTGAAAAAGGATCGGTGATTTTAGTATATTAGGAAAAATCGTTTATTTAGTTTAAATTTTATGAATGAGTTATAAAATTTACAAAAACCCAAGTGAGTACCAATAAAATACGTAAATATCGAGCGATAAGTTAAAATAGTTTCTTTCAACTAAAGAAGTAAGTTTTGAAGTGCTCAATATTAATATGAAACTCAAAAACTCAGTGACAAAAAGTTTGTATATCGGTAAAATTTCTATAAAAACTCCAAACATTTGATTGATACCAACTATCCTTCTTTTATCATCGAAGGATGACAATTTTTCATTACATTTACTTCTGAATCTCCAAACCCTAAGGCATGACTACGAAACAAACATTTCGAATGTGTTTTCGAATCATTAAAATCGGTTGAATGCTTTCTTCAGTACTTGCAAATAGTTTTCACCGACACTACGAATAAAATGCTTTTTGAATCATTGAAATTGACTCTTATGTCGTACCTATACATACATTTTTTTCAAGGTGTTTCAAAATAATCAAATGTCTTGAAGAGTAAAGGTACCAAAAATTTTCGTGTTTCTTGCGATTATCTAAGTTATTGACAATAAAATAATTACAGTTACCTATAATGCCGGGTAACAGTTCCGTGAGCTGCCTCTGCTTCAACTGTCTTACCATCAGGACAAACTAGCACCGATGTCATAAGACCCAATGAACCGTATCCTTGAGCTACGGAATCAGATTGCACATCACCATCATAATTTTTGCAAGCCCATACAAAGCCTCCAGATGATTTCATTGCGTAGGCGACCATGTCATCGATCAGTCGATGTTCGTACCTTAAATAAAATGGAGATTTTTATTAAAAACATATACTATAAACTTTTTTTTTACATTTTATATACCCACAATTACGCTACTATCAAATAATAGACGAAAAGTTTTATTGTTATCTTTTGTTAAATGGTGTTATATACGTTCATTCGTTGAATTATGTATATGATTCGTAATACTGGCAATAAGAAGGAGTTGTATATGTAAAATATGCATCAATTACTTTGAATCCAACAACTGCATTCAAAATCTTGACAAAAAGTAGATAGCAGTAATTATGGTCGCACGATCTGTGTTACAAGCTTATATTGTTATTTCTACTCTGAAGTAGATTCGAAGTTTTTTTTATGATTTTAGTGCTTTAGAAATTATTAGATAAAAAAAACATTCACGGGGCCACCCAAACCCACCCAAATTTTTTATAGAGACAAAATCTAATGTCATTATCAGTTATAAATTATTTAATAAATCAGATTGCCAAAAAGGCAAAAAGAGTATAGTTAATTTGAACTGTTAATAAAACTTTTGGAAAATGTGACAATCATGATGAATAAATAAATATTTCTTTTGATTTCATTTTTTTTCAATTTGTGAAAAATCTGATCATAGGTCGTCTTAGTACGATGTAGTATCATCAATGAACGTGATTTTACTATCAGAAGGAGACTTTTCGTGTTTGTTTTTGTTAAAAGACGTACTGATATAAATTTGTATAATAGTGATATTTACGTATGGTGTAAATATTATAAATAGTTATGTTTAATATTTCTAACATTAGTAACAAGTCTATACTATATATAAGTATTAAATTTTTTGAAATATCGACAAAGAAAAAACCATGAAACAAAAAAATTAACAAAACCAGTATAAAACTAATTACCAGATTCCAGCAGCTTCATATTCTTTCTTGTATTGCTTGTCATAAATTTCCTGGAATATATCCTTAAATCTACCATCGTATTTCTTGAGAATGGTATTTTTGGTAGATAGGTACAAGGGCAATTTTCGGTTTAAGGCATATTGGAATGAGGCATTAGCGAAATCTACAATTGAACTATCGGTGTTGAACATTCCCATGGCGACTCCAGGTCCTTGGTAAGTGTGGACGGTGAAGCTGTAATGAAATAGACATGTCTATTATAAGAATTATTTGCACAAATCTAATAATATTTAAATAATTTATCGATGGTTAAAGCTGAATATTTAAGTACATTATTCATGTGTGATATTAAAATTGTAATCAGGGATCTTTCGTTATTCGTTATTATTCTAAAACTTTCACTGAAATTATATAACCCAAGTCCGACATAGAAAAAAGTAAAATTGGACTCTATGCGACACCTCTTTTTTACTTTGGGTTAATTAATTAAAATGCTAGATACGGGTGGTAAATTCAACAAAAAAGCAAAAATTATTTTGAATTTCAATATTACATAATGTTTGAAAATTTTATCTATAACATATTAATTTTCTGAAAACTTCTTAATAAAACAAAACAATTTTTGAAGGCTAAATTTTATATATGGGAACATAACTTTTCAATAAATTTTAAAGTAAAGCATGGTCTAAAAGAGGTTGTTAAACACTGGGTAGTTCTTATACTTTCTGCATTTACAACTGTCGTCGTGTTATATGCAAATAATGCAAAAGATAACATATCGCACCAAACAGTATTACCCATTTACGTATTGCGTAAATATAATTTTAGCACTCATTATAATCGACTACGTCGGATCAACCCATTTTCGTTGTTGTAATCTTGCACATATGTTTGAAGTAATCGATGTAAAAAATCAATTCTGATACGTCAGTTATGTTGTATCACCACAATAATTTTTATTTAATTACAGATGCCTAAGGTTAAAGCAGTTTTTAACATCATCTAAGTTACTATTTTTGCTATTTATATCATCTGTAATTGTTGCGCGGTCATCCAGTGTTCTACTACTTCAGTAACATGATTCCACAACAATGTTTTGTTATAATTTAATTTATATTTAGCTAACGTTCATAAATTTATCTAGATATTATTCAAGGCTTCATTCACTGTCCGCGCAACCATTATGTCAGATTTCAACAATTTTACAAGCTCTATTAAAATACTGTCAGATCGATTTTTTTGCACATCAACACAAGTTATGTTCTAGCGAAACTCTACTATCGAATTATATCTTGAAAGTTACCTATACTAAAAACTTTTTTTGTTATAGCAAAGCATAGCAAAGTAACATTACATGGTGATATGTATGTAATCACTTTTTAAAAACTTTCATTATTGAATAATTTACTTAAAAAACTACTTACAATGTACAAAAAAACAAATTTAAAGAAAATGATCAATTATGAATAATAACATTTCTATAAATAATGTTGCAGAAATAATATATTAAAAATATAAAATGTTCTCATACAGAGATAATAAGCACAACTTTTCCAAATAAACAAAAGAGTAATGGGAAACGTTTTACCAAATATACTATTTTGCAAAATTTATTTAAGATTTTGGGAAAAATTGTGTCTATCACTTTTCAAAAATAAATTGAAACGCCGAATATTGAAATAGGTATATACATTACGAAAAATAACGATAAGTATTTACCTCATTGGACTTCCCGATTCGGGGGTAAATGTCAATTCTAATTTACCCTTTCCTGGTACCACGAAGTCGGTGGCTTTGTATTGATCAGCATGAGCGTGTCTGCCGATGACTATGGGCTCATTCCATCCTGTTACCAATCGGGGTATGTTCTTGCAGATGATTGCTTCTCTGAAGACTGTGCCACCTGTGGAAAAAAATAATTTGAATTATTGATTGAAACTATTCAGCAAAAAGGGCATTAGCTCTGAAAGCGTTTCTTTGTACTGAGCTGTCTTTTTATATGAAAATAAGATATTTCATAGAAAATTAATAAGTAAAGTAAATTTGTTATTATTATTATTTAATTCGAAACATATAGTTTTCGAGATAATATATCTCGATTTTAAAATTCACAGGTGACGACAAAATGAGATAATATGTAACAAATTATAATACTAACCGAGAATATTTCTGATAGTTCCATTGGGACTTTTCCACATTTTCTTTAATTTAAATTCTTCCACTCTTTTCTCATCAGGAGTAATTGTTGCACACTTGATTCCGACATTGTATTTCTTGATTGCCTCAGCACAATCAATAGTGACTTGGTCATTAGTTTCGTCTCGGTGTTCCATACCTAAAAAAAATTATTATATAAGGAATCAATCAATATTTATAACAATATGACAACAATAATATTATTTCAACTCACCCAAATCGTAAGTATGCAATTCGACATCCAAGAAGGGCAGAATCAACTTTTCTTTGATGAGAGACCAAATGATTCTGGTCATTTCATCTCCAAGGATATCAACAACGGGTCCTGCCTTTATTTTATCCATTTTGAAATCTAAAAAAAATTAAATCATTAATAAAAAAAGTTTCTAGGCGTACAATGTTATTAAGACGGTAAATATTTTTTGTCAAAAAAATTAGTTTTATATATAATTAACAAACGAATTTGATCTCATTTCTCCCGTTTTCTATTAACGGAAAGAAAGCGCCCGTGTGCACAAAGCCGTATTTCAACAATGACTCATTCGAATCAGAATTTTTAACTTCCCGTAGGGTAATTAACTTCCCGTAGGGTAAGTTATAGTAATCGCAAAAAAATCGAAAATGAAAATTTTTATATATCTTTACGTTTCAGAGGTTTCTGAACATTTTAGCATACCTTAGAAAAAATGGATGTATGTGTGTGTGTGTGTGTGTGTGTGTGTGTGTGTGTGTGGGTGTGTGTGTGTGGGTGTGCGTGTGTGTATGTATGTGCGGATACAAATTTTCGTCGACGATTTCGGGAACACGGATCAACCGATTTGAATAATTCAAAAAACATTCGATTCGTATTGATAAGGAGACGTGCTGATTAGTTTTTGGCAAAGGCAGGTCTAGCCGTTTCGGAAATACGGGGCAAAAAGTACCGGAAACGGTAACTCAGTTTTTGAGAGAACGGAGCGTCCGATTTTAATAATTCAAAAAACATTTTACTTGTATTGACAAGATAAAGAATTGATCAAATTTTCATAAAGGCAGGCCTAGCGGTTTCGGAGATCTAACGAAAAAAGTAAAAAAAAATGCCATTTGGCGGTCAAAAATGATCATTAGACATATGCACATCAAATTTTTAGATATTTTATAGAGATTTTAACAATAAGTATAAATTTTGTTTATTTTCCTATGGGTTCCGTATCAATGTTTACCCGTTAGACAGCGACGCCGCGCATACGCGCTTTATATTTTGTCTATATGCAGTTAAAGCAGTGCGATTGCTTTGAAAAACAAGTTCAGATCTTCCAAAATATGTCAAAATAAAGAAAAAATTAAAAAAAAAAGTAATTTTTTGTCCAATTTATAGTTTGTCAAAAATCTTATTTTTTCGAAGTAAATTTTTTTCAAAAATGTTAATCGTTTTTAAAAAAAATAATAATTTTTGGTACGGGAAGTTCCAGCAATTTGCCTTAAGGCACGATGCCCTAATTGCCTTAAGACAGAATTCCACTTACAGCTAGTTATTTATTCAAATCAGAACTCGAAAACTCATTAAGACGATAATCAAGTAAAATTTGTTTAGAATTAGCCCATCACTGGTATTGCGTTTTGCGTTTCAATATCTGAAAGTTTTGGCATACATATCTTTTGTATTTTTATTGCACAGAGCCCCCATTGAAATATAGTAAGGGCAGGCCCACTTCAAAGATACGAACAAAAACGCTGTTTAGAGATTCACAAGGAAAACTTTGCATCAAATAATCAAATTATTTATAAAAATTAGAATAATGTGTTCATTAAGTTATGAATTCCATATTCAATATATAACAAAATATTTTTAAGATTTACATTAGGATCTTATAAGATTCACTCTAGTCAACTTAATCAAAAGATATAGAAACTAATAATTAGTTTAAAGCTAAGTAATAGATTTTTTACAGACATTATAATATTATTCATAATTTATATTATATGTTTATCAGGGATTTGAAAAAAAAATCATTTTTGATTCTACACCAATAGAAATATTTTCGAACTAAATTGAATTTAATAGTTTATTTAAGACTAAAACATTTATCTTTTAAATTTTAAAATTCAAGTTAGCACATCACCTTTGTTATAAGAAATAAAGCAAATAATCATTTAAAATTATTACTCACATCCGATATCAAATAAGTTATTTATTTTAGAATAAGATTAGATTGTTTTCCAATTTATTAAACACTAGGATTGCATTGATTCTTTTTATTATTCAATGTAAGTTTGTTGTAATTTGTAAAATATATATTACTTCTATAAGGTTTTCAATCATAGAAAATGAATAATAAGTTAACGGTGTTGGTGATCGCAGATAATAATTGCTTCCAAATTTCCACATTTTCATTTTCTTTAGTTTTTTCTAATAATTATTATTAAAAAACATTAATTAATTATAATTGCCATTTTCTAAGAATTTTACATTCTCATGCCATAGATTACTACTATTATTACATGGATTAATAGCATTATTATTATTTTTATTATAAAGATATCAATATATAAGTGTTTTAGATTACTTATTTTAATTATTAAATTGTTTCAATTATTTACTTACTACTAATGAAAGCTAGGAAGTTTGCCGAAAGGTATGGATTTCAAATAAAATATTAAATGACTGGTAAACTTTTATACATACTACTCGGTGTATATACATACAGGTGTATATGTATATAAATATACATTCGCAGTCGCAAATGCCAATTTGGAATATTTACATTTGCATGGGATATTCCTAATAAATATATTTATAGGCAAATAAGTGAAAGTGACGTAAAATGCTGAGAATTTGGTAACCTATTAGCACCTCGAATTTTTAATTTTTAACGTGTATTATATTACCATCATATGGAAAACTATCCTTTATTTTTAAAAATTATCTAATGTCAATAAATGTTTTATTAGCAGTTGTACCTAAAATTCAATTTAAAAACATGAAAACAAAAAAAATGCAACTCGATATATATATATATATATATATATATATATATTAATATTAGAATATTAGAATTCTATAAATTGAACTTATCTACAATTCATTATCAGTTGACGTATAAATAACAATAAACTAATTGTTACAACTGATATATTGTACTGTAGCGATGCCTGAATAGCAATTTTGATATTAAAGATAAACTAATGTAAAAATGATGTGAGACAAATTAATGTAAAACTAATGTGAGACAAATTTATATGTAAAACAAATCTAAGAAATACATTCTTAATGAAAATTTAAGTAAGGCCACACTATTAATAGAAAAGAAGCATATTTTTTTAACATTTTTATTCTTATTTGGTGAATAATCCCTATCTCATTTATATTATAAATATAAATATAAAATAAACCTATTATTACGGTACCAAATATTACGTTTTTATTTAAATTCTTATATGCCTTTATAATTATTTTAATTTGATTAACGAAATTGGTTTGCTTACAATGTTTTAAATTAATTTATTTTAAAATACAAAACTATAAATTGACATACCGCGGTACCAAAGCATTGTACTACCATTAATATCAAATTGTAATTTCTTGTGATTGCTTGTATTATACTATACGAGAACGCAACTCTTATATGTATAATGAAAGATAGTTATGCAAAATTTTCCTAAAATAATGAATTACAACAATTCGTTAAGGTCAAACCGAGCACGATATCATTGGAAAATTTATGTAAAAATATGTATACCCGTTCATTTAATGTGGAATCGCCGGCAGTCATTTGCAAACATTTACTGTTGATTGAATTACTATAATATTTAACCCAAATGCGTACGGAATTCGGTCACCACGATTTTGGTAACAAGATTTTTACTTTTTTATTTTTTATATCACATTTTAAAAGCAATCAGAACCTGATGTCCTAGAAGCTGTTGGACTAAAACTTCTCTTTACGTCGTATTTTTAGATGGTAACCCAACGGCTTTTCCACCTGTATTTATTTACTTCATTATATTATTAAATTTTGTGCAGCGATGCCCAGAAAGAGCTATTTTCACTTGGTCGTTGGGATCTATATTCCCAAGTGAAAATTTATATGGGTACTGCTCGATATCAGGTTTGCCCGTGACGAGGATTGAATCCGCCAACCGTCTGATTGCAAACCTACAAGAACACTCTGCCACGAAGACAATTTGATCCCAGTCAAACGTCTATTTACTTGTAAGAGAGTATATTTATAATAAAATGTCGATTTCTACGTACATATCATACTAAATTGCCTAGATAATTTTTGCTAATATTCAATTCATTTCTAACTTTTTTATAATGTAATATTATTATTATTAATATTAAAATATCTTCATACCCGTACTCATCACCTTTTGAAAATATTTTGACACTTTGAATGCGATGATTCTCGAACGATTTCGGATCATTTCCTTTCAAAAATTATAATTTTTTTCCTATTATTTATTCGTAAGTCGCTAATTTAGTGCATATACACATACAATTCAGTATGTTATTTGCATAAATCTCAAATAAATTAGTACTACATCAATCATTAAATTAAATTCATTTGTTTAAAGTCTATTATGTATTCTAAACGGCATATGTAAAAAAACAAATTGAAAACTGATATATATAAACTGAATTACAAATTATTTATTTAAAGTATATAAGTGAGCTTCAAAACTTTAGCCAGGATTAAAATTAAAACCTAATTATTTTCGATATACAAAAAAATTGTTTTTGAAAAAAAATTAGAATAAAAAAATCTCAAAAACAATTTTTTTGCCAACACAAGCATAATATTCTTTGTATCATTCAAATCGGATACTCCGTTCTCTCAAAAACTCGGTTTCTCTTGTCTGCACTCTTTGCTCCGTATATCCGTAACGGCTAGATTTGCCTTCAATTAATACAAAAATTAATCAACACATCTCCCTATCAATAGGAATTGATTGCTTTTTGAATTTTTCAAATCGGTTCATCCATACGCTCGAATACACCGACAAAAAAATCTCCACACGTACACACACACATCCATTGTTTCTGAGGTATGCCAAAATGTTCAGAAACCTCTGAAACGCAAAAAATTCATATTCGACTTTCGGCCCATTACTATAACTTACCCTACGGAAAGTTAATGAAGTTAAATAGAACATATTTCCTTTCGCTACTTATTATTGGAGAACAACTAATGTTAATTCAAATTTATATTAAGAAATTATAAAACAGGAATAAAATTCTATTCTCTTCATTGAAAGGAAAGTTATATTTTGTATATCAATTAGATAAAAATATACTAATGTAGAAAAAAGTGGGTCAAAAAGAGATGATACACATATACTAACTGATTGCTCAGCAGTAATCTCAATTGCTGATATGTATACAATGCCATTTGAAAAAAAAACATGAAAATTTTTGGCATATGCGATTTTTTCTGTTGCTAACTCGATCATATTGGCGACAAACTACTTGATTCAATACTACTGACAATAATTTCGCATTGGTACCATTCCGCTAACAAGGTCAGCGTACTTATTCAATTGCTTAAAGATAACAAAACCTAAAAAAATTATTTAATATAAATATCTATCTCGAGGAAGCTACTAATTTGTTGTTGAGATTATTTCAAATTCGGCGCGCATGCCAATCCCTTAGAGGTCAAGTTCATGATAAGCCAACATATTGAAAATGATAACTTACTATTGAAACAGTTTTGTTTATACAAATATGAAGTAATTGACTACTCTGTGTCTAATAATAATCAATTATCAATCCATATGATGTAATTATAATTATATCAATTAATTACATAATGATTAATTGTAACTACAAAGAAAAGTATGTCAATTGTTAGACTTTATAGAAATTTGGCAAAATGTCGTGGAACAATTAAATTAGCTTCAGTAATCAAACGGTACTAACATTTAAGTCCTTATAGAAATTTATTAACTTCCCGTAGGATAAGTTATTGTAATCGTCCAAAAATCGAAATTAAAAATTTTTGCATATCTTCACGTTTTGAAGGTTTCTGAACGTTTTGGCATACCTTAGAAAAAATGGATGTGTGTGTGTATGTATGTATGAATACAATTTTTCGTTCACGTTTTCGGCACACAGATCAACCGATTTGATTGGTTGAAAAAAATCGATTTTTACTGACAAGGAGAAGTGCTGATTAGTTTTTGGCAAAGGCAGATCCAGCCGTTTCGTAGATACGGAGCTAAATGCGCAAAAACTAGCTGTTTTTGAGAAAAATAAACATCCGATTTGAATGATTCAAATTCATTGCTTGTGTTGACAAACCGATTGTTTTTGGAAAAAGACAAATTGTTTTTTTTAATTTCCAAAAAAGATTTTTTTTAATATCGAAAATAATTCGAATTTTCAAAATTTTAATTCGGTACGGCAAGTTTCAGCAAGTTTCAAGGCACGATGCCATATACCACTAGTTAATTTTATTTTAATTTATTCTTTCTGGACGATTGACTGATTTAAACAAAGATAGTGTTATAATGTATGAATTTCTTTTAATGAATCATTAAAGTCTGTTTTAAATATGTTTAAATAACAGTTGTATAAATCACGTTATTTATGAAGACGTTATTATTAGTTATTAAGACAATTTAAAACTACTAATTAAATTTAGTATTTAAAAGGTATTAAACCTTTCAAGAATTTATCTTCTGCAACTTAATCTTTCATTACTTACCGTAATTGATTACCCCATTAAAATATTATTCTCATTTAAACAATTATAACATATAGATTTTGCTTCCACATGCCTTAATTCGATAAAGGTCCTAATCTTAACATTTATCATACAAAATATCTTGATGGCATTGGTAAATATGTATTTAACAAATAAATTGCTATATCGTTAAGTATACCAGGAACAAATATTACAAATGTATTATGGCAATACATTAATAACTACGGGATTGAAGAATTTTAAATGCCTAATTAATATAACTAAATGCAATATTTATTGTTTGAGTAATAAATATTCGAGAAAATTCAATGACAAAATGGCTCAGGTAAAACGGAACGGGCAAAGGTCAACAGACAGAATTTCTAATGTAATATAGCAAATTAAAATACTGAAGACAATTAATTGAATGTAGAACGACGGTCTTTCAGAATATATGATTACTAGCTTGCCTATATCACGACATTATATATGATTATATATACTTATATATATATATATATATATATATATATATATGTGTGTGTGTGTGTGTGTGTGTGTGTTTGTGTGTTTGTGAAAAATCATTCGTAATAGTTTATAATAAAATAATAATTTATTTAATAAAAGAAAATCATTGTGTAATACTAGCATTGCAAAAAAATGAAGATTGCACTTATGTACGAATATATGTTATGTATGTATTTATATATACATATGCAAAATGGCAACATACTGTTTTTGTTGTTCGTGGTATTGGTCACATGACTCGATCATATAGAAATTTTGCATAAAATGATGTGCAAAGTGCTGACTGAAGTATTTTGTATGGACTCTAAATAACCAATTTTTACAGGACAATCTCGATTTGAATGATTACACGTTTTGTTCACTTTCTTTCGACTACCAGAGCGTTGTGCATGAGAAGTTTCCACCCCAACGTCGTACGATCAGTAGGGAGCATAAACTATGCACCTTTTGTAAGAAGTAGACCAAAAAACGTTCTAAATTATGAAAAAATAGTTAATTAAGAAATTTAATCGACAATTCACTTGATCGTTCTTTGCAGAATTTCTCGGGGGCCAAAAACAACAGCAAATATGCCTTATCAACGTATTCATAGGATTTGAAGATCCACGACTTTTCCTTTTCCAAAAATGAGAAGGCCTATGGAAGGGCTAAGGTTTGGCACGCTAGACTAGAAAGTGCTAGTGAAAAGTGCCTCTAGCATTGGAAAAAACGTTATAAATGAATTGAATCTCAGAAAGATTACTTTTTTCACGAATTTTATGATTTTCATGCACTTCAAAAATGAATAGCTTAATAATATTTATATTAACAAATACATTTATATGTTCGTACAATGCATCTTTTTTTTTTAATTTGCATATATATATATATATATATATATATATATATATAAAAATAATATATATATATATATATATATACATATATATAATATACATATATACATATATATAATATACATATATACATATATATAATATACATATATACATATATATAATATACATATATACATATATATAATATACATATATACATATATATATATATATATATATATATATATATACATATATATAGAGTATACAAATATGTATATACATATATACAAATATATATATATATATATATATATACATAAATATATATATAATTTTCATTTTCAAGCCAATTTCAAAAAAGAAGTAAGAAAATGTCACTTGAATGAAATATATGTTAAATTAGATTAATATAACGGATAAAATGTAGTATATTACCTGTGACACGACACAAAACAAGAGACACTGTCAACAAGCCGAAAACAAGGAAGTTACTGAAATGGCAAGTAATGGAATTATTACATGACGTGACAATGTATACGATAATTCCACGTTGAACGGTTCCCGCTAGGTGTCAGATCCATTTTATATATTGAGGAACATTGCAATTGCTCAACACGATGATGATTTGTATTTTAACGTATTCATAAAAAATATTTTTTTAATTTAATATAATATTTAAATTTCAGCATTTGTTCTCTAGATGTAATAATATATTTTACAGAAATCAATTGTATGAAAAATAAATTGTTTAAAAATATATTCAATATTCCGAATTGTTGGTAGCAAATATTTGATCGGTTTAAGTATTATAAAGTTTAAGGATTTCCCCGCATCCTTGATTTTGAAGTTACGGACTTCGCCTCGCAAAATATACTGATGGCAATATGTTCCGAGTGAAAATAGTCACCGGTTTCTGTATCAAGAAAAAAATCATCATTACAATAATTGTAATTAATAATAATTTCGTTACAGAAACTAGCGGTGCATGGCATCGTAAGGCAAATTGCTGAAACTTCCCGTGCCGTAACGAAATGATCGAGGAATATTAAATGTTTACAAATAGATTTTTATAAATACTGTAACATTGTTTAATATTTATAAGAATTATATAAACTGAATTGCAAAGTTGAAATTATTTGTTTAAAGTATATTAGAACAGAATTAAAATTAAAATCTGAATTATTTTCGAAATAAAAATTTTGAAAAAAAAATTAGAAACAAAAATGTTTTTTTCCAAAAGCAATTATTTTGTTGAAACGAGCGGAAAGTTTTTTGAATAATTCAAATCGGACGCTTAGTTCTCTCAAAACCTGCCATTTTTGCACATTTAGCTCTGTATCTTCGAAATGGCTAGACCTGCTTTTGGTAAAAACTAATTACCTCTTCTCCCAATCATAACAAATTGAACGTTTTTAGATCATTCAAATCGGATACTCCGTTCCCTCAAAAAATCGATTTGAATTTTCTGCACTCTTTATTCCGTATCTCCGTAACGGCTGAACCTGCCTTCGCCAAAAACTAATCAGCACATCTCTCTATCAATGGGAATCAAATGTTTTCTGAACCATTCAAACCGGTTAATCCGTGCGCCCGAAAACGTGGACGAAAAAATGCGGACATACCAAACACACACACATACACACATCCATTTTTGCTGAAGTATGCCAAAATGTTCAGAAACCTTTAAAACGTCGAGAAATGCAAAAAATTTCATTTTCGGTTTTCGGCCCATTCTATGACTACCCTACGGGAAGTTAAAAATCATATAGTTTAGAAAATAGAATAACACAAAAAACAGTTATGTACGTGAAAACTCTAAAAAATCAATAATAAATCTGAAGACTTCATACATACAAATGAAATCATTTAGTATTATTATTATATCATTTATACGGCTATAAAACGTTTTGCTAATTGATTTAAAATTTACTTTTAAAATTTGTAAATAGAATTAATTGGAATTCTTATCTCATAATTGCAGCTCTATCAGGTGTATTTAAAAATAAAGCAAATCACGGTTTCAGGTTTTCTTGCTTATGACAAGTATTCCGAAAAGATGTGATACCAATGCAACATATCAGAGCAAAAACAATATGACATTTAAATGCCAAAGGTAAAAGCATTTACAGATAGCAATAAAATCACAAGCACAAATATTTAAAAAAACCTTTCATTTCCAATGCATACTGCATTTTCTATATTAATAGAACTGTGCTTTATCATATTTTTCATTATTATTTTTTTATATTTATTGCATTACTTTTATAGTATGTTTTGTAGTGTATGCACAGAGGATCATAGAAAATAAAGTCCAATTAGAACTCGAAAAGTCCGAAAGATTTATTAAAAAATTATACCTAACTTAGCTTTCCCTTTTGAAAAAAAAGGAAGAATTGAATAAATGTCCGAATTGAAACTGTTTTTTATACTATTTCATGTATATAATTATTTAATATGATTGATAATCGCGTGTTTATTTTGTTAAAAAAGTATTTTTCTACATCGAATTAGTCTTGATGAATTATAAATAGGTTTTACAACGTGTCGCTTAGAAAATAGTCTTGATAAAGTGCATAATTGCCGACTCGACCTTACTTCGAATACTTGAATGCATTAGGCGACCTATTATGAATCATAATGTTGGTTTTAGAAATTACGTAACATCATTTTTTACGTTGTTTTAAATTTTTGTAAATAAGAATATATATATTTATAGCAACATTGTTCTTTACATATGCATAGTTTGTAAAATAGGTAATAATTTTTTTTTGTTAATACATTGCGTTGAGCAATAAATCTAGTAATTGCAAAACTGCCGCGTTCTTAAAAGTTGTGTACTAAATATTAGTAATGGCAACATAATTTTACGGTAATTGCAAGATTATAATTTGGATAAGACAAGTAAACTTCGACTAACATTCAATAACAATCAGAAAGAAATAATTTCATTAAGTATTTGTTATGTTTCGTACCAGTGCGTATTTAAAACGCACTTCTACACTCTAAACAAATGGTTTCAACTTCAACAAGTGAAACTTTTGTATTTTGTTCAAAAAAATGTTTGTATAGCCTTTCACTTTACTTAGATTTCCATACTCTCATGCAAATTATTTTTATAATTTACATACAAAATTGGCAAGTTTTTTATGAACAGAATAAAAAGTTTGATCTTTATTATTGCTATTAAAAGTCTGACACAATTCGTACCATGATATAATCTATTCAAATCTAATTCTTTTATAAAGCATTACCAAAATTATTTCATTTTTGAAACTTTTTAAGCATTTAAATTTTTCCTAAAATTTCACAAAACTTTTGTTATTTCTTAAAAACAAAATAAAAAAATTAATTGTTCTAATAAATAAAAATTTCATAGTTTTAAGAATTAAAAAAAAAATCATGAAAAAATATTGGTTTTTGTCGAATTTTCACTAATCAAAATTTAAATTTTGGTCTTAGTTTATGTCAAATGTTTGTTTCTTTTGCAAATCAAAATTAACACGTTCTCTTTGACAATTTATCGCAAGATCTATGTAATTATATTAAAAATATTCGCATATGAATGAGTTATATTCACTCTTGTAAAGTGACTTAGCGCTGAAATTATTCATTAGTCTCAATATTCGCATCTCACAATTGCATATAGTGACGCGTGTACATGGTGAGATCATTTTGCATTTTAAATTGCACTGCTATAACATGGAAATCGATTTTATCTCTTACAATTAGAACTGACTTATAGTCGTCAACCTGTAATATGAGCTGCAATTGAACTAATACACATAATTATGAATAAGTATAACTGCCCACTCTCCTGTTCAGTGGATGATGACTATCTTTGCAATGTAATTTGTGAAAATGTTAATGGGGTTTATTAAGTTTGTTCCCCATCATATAAATATCAAAAACAAAAAGTTCAGACAATACGACCTTTCACTTGAAGTAAAGTTTTTGTTACAAAGGTAATTAAGCGTCCGTATATAATAATCAAAATATACACTCTGCAATGTAGAGTCTGCATGCCACTTTTGAAAATCAAAAACCATAAATACAAGTTAAAACTAGTTATGACATAGTGACATCAATGTAAACTCATGATAGGTTAAAATTTGAGTTAAATATTACCATAAGTTCTGAATTATTTGTTTTTTTTTAATTCATAAAATCTTTAAAAAAACGTTTACCACAACCATTCACCAACTAAAAGTCTGGATATAATGCGACCTAATGGGGTGATGGGTGTGTTTTTGCGAAATGTGGAAGCACCACATTTTTACTGATACTCTGGTTAAAGAATACTATTAAATTCTGAGCAAGACAATACAAAAACTGCAATCATTAAAATATGTATTCGTAGAATCCAAGGGACCAATTCTCCGAGAAAATAGAAATTTACTGGTCTACATTCGTATTAGTTGGTAATAACAAACTGCCAAAAAGCTATGTATTTTCTATGCGATCAGGCGTTTTACACATAAAACCTAACTTCACGTATGTATTATCAAATCATCAGAAAGTTGCGCTTGTGATATTAAAAAAATCTGACTGTAAAAGTTCAGACAATACGACCTTTAACTTGAAGTAAAGTTTTGGTTACAAAGGTAATTAAGCGTCCGTATATAATAATCAAAACATACACTCTACAATGTAGAGTCTACATGCCACTGTTGAAAATCAAAAACCATACATATAAATTAAAACTAGTTTATGACACCAATGTAAACTAATGATAGATTAAAATTTAAGTTAAATATTAATATAAGTTTTGAATTATTTGATTTTCTTTAATTTATAGAATCTTAATGTTGAAAAACGTTTACCACAACCATTCACCAACTAAATGTCTGGACATAACGCGACCTAATGGGCCGATGGGTGTAAGTGTTTTTGCGAAATGTGGAAACACCACATTTTTGCTGATACTCTGGTTAAAGAATACTATTAAATTCCGAGCAAGACATTGCAAAAACTGCAATCACTAAAACTGTGTTCTTAGAATCCAAGGGACCAATTCTCCGAGAAAATAGAAATGTACTGGTCTATATTTGTATTAGTTGGTAATAACAAGCTGTCAAAAAGCTATGTATTTTCTATACGATCAGGCGTTTTACAAATAAAACCTAACTTCACGTATGTATTATCAAAGCATCAGAAAGTTGCACTTGTCATATAAAAAAAATCTGACTGTAATATTATATAACCTGGGAGTGGTCAAAAGACTTTTTGGTATACGGCTATCGTTCTTGCATAAGATCAAGGCGAACAAATGCAGCGATCGTAAGACGACTGTCCAGAAAGTTCCTCACCAAAATTCTCACTATGTATAAAATTCTGAAAAACATATAGAAAGAGAGAGAAAAGGCCACATCATAAGACAATGCATAATAAATACACACGCACATATATACATACACATACACATACATATATATATATATATATATATATATATAATATATATATATATTATATATATATATATATTT